GTCTGATAAGGACCGGAGAGGCTCAACGTCAGTCTCCTGACGACGGACAGAGCACACTGTCCGAAACGTTGAGCCTCTCCGGTCCTTATCAGAACCACACAGACTCAAAAAGAGATATTGCATGGTGCTTACCGCAAGCTTTCCATCTTACTTGCTCTTTTGTTTGTATTTCAACAACCAGCTGCTTTACCACTCGATCACATTGCTGATAAGTAATATTGACGTGCATATGTACAGTATTAATCTGACACTGACTTAGTACCAGCGTGGGGAAGCACACAGAAGGATTTTGAACTGCCCGGGCTGTAACATCTGGCCAATTACCGCATTCTAGCATGCCTGGTTTGTCCATAGCCAGAGCGCAGCGCATGCTTGCTACGCACCACCTGTTTTACAACTATAAGCCCCGTTTGTACTCCATGATCATCGCCGCAATTTTTTCGTTGGTAATCTGCATCCCTAAAACTTTGTGTACTGCAGTAATGGAAGTTGGATATTCATGTTATCGTTGGTGACAACAACATCAAATTTAGTGCTTGCGGCCTGAAGAATGTTGACAACTTCATCGATGACATTCTGGTCCACACAAAGACATGGGAGGAGCATCTGAATACACTAGATGGTCTTTTTCAAAGGTTAGAGCAGTCAGGGGTGACAGCACGTCCATCAAAGTGCTTCATTGGCTTCAAGAAGTTGGAATACTTAGGCCACATCATTGGTCAAGGACAGCTGGAACCACTTGCAGACAAACTAACAACCATCAAGAACGCAGCCAGACCTAAAACCAAAAAGCAGCTTCGCTCCTTTTTAGGTCTCACAGGCTATTATAGGAAGTTCATTCCTAATTATGCTGCAATTGCCGCACCACTTACGGACAAGACCAAGAAGAAGGAACCAAACATCATTCAGTGGGAATCCAATCAGGAATACGCCTTCCAGACTCTCAAGGAACGCCTCGTCACCACACCAGTCCTTCACTTACCTGATGTTAAACGTCCTTTTCTACTTCGCACTGACGCCTCCAATATTGGGATTGGAGCTGTTCTTCTGCAGCGAGATGGAGAAACAGTTTTCCCAATTGCGTATGCCAGTAGGAAGCTGTTACCACGTGAGCAGTCTTATTCTGTGATTGAGCGAGAGTGTTTGGCCATTGTATGGGCAATCCAAAAGTTCCAAACCTATCTCTATGGCCGAGAATTCGTCTTAGAGACGGATCACCAACCACTGGTCTACCTCCAAAGAGCAAAAGTCACCAACAGCCGAATTCTACG